AAGGCTTGGACACGGCCCAGCCTCCAGCTGTTTGGCTTCGCTGTTGCTCGCGTACCACGTAAACCGTGCTCTGATGAGCCTCGGGCAGCCCAGGGTGGCACAGCTGGCCACGCACATGTCCAGGGCCCACAGGGGGTCTGAGCAGCGCCGAGGCCTTGGCCTGGCTCCGGGTGGGTAGCACGGGGCCCCGGCCTTCACCTGGCCGACGGAGCAGCTGGTGTCGTCCCTGGTCCTGCCCCGGGCCTGGGGCCCTGCCGGCTCAATGGGCGGCGCCCGCTTGTGCCCACGGCGGGGGGCTGGGGAGGCCCTGTCCCACAGTCAGTGCCATGCAGAGGACCCCCTCTGGGAGCACGCAACCCCACCCCTCGGCCCTTCCCGCCTCCCGGGGCTCAGGGCCCCCAGCCCCATCCCAGCTCCTGCTCCGCAGCCCCTCCTTGCTCTCTTCTAAAACCACCTTGACTGTGGGTGCCAGGGCGGTTCTCCGTGCGCTGGAGCAGGGCAAAGGAAATGGGTGTCCGAGAGCACGAACAGGTCTGGGGGCCTCCCGGGGGCGCAGGGGTTAGTCTCAGTGCCATCAAGTTATCGGCAGCCACTGAGGCCTGAGTCCGATCCCCGGCCAGGGGACCCACAGGGCGCAGCAGACCTCGCCTGTCTCCCCGCAGCTCCCCTTAGCAGTGGAATTCAGTCAGTCCGCCTGCTCTGCTCCCTGCTCTGTCTCTGGTGGATCCTCTCACCCCCTGCGCTTCTGGCCTGCACCCCAGCTCTCGTGCGCATAAATAAATAGATCTTTTTTTAAAAAAAGAACGGGTCCAGAAATGGGCCCACGTGCCTGACCACTCTGGGGCTGGCCGAGCGCCTTCTGAGTGGCTCCGTCTGCCCGCTGGGCCGCACCGTCCCCAGGCGGCGGCGGCAGGCGGGGCACACGATGGCGCAGCTCCGCTGGGCTGGCCCCCTTCTCAGCAAGTGCGTGCTGTGAGCCGGGCCTCACCTGTGCGGCCCACCTGGCTCCTGCCTGTGCCAAGGGTCTAAACTGTCCTCGAGCTGAGAAACTACCCGCCACCAGCCAGACGCTCGCCCTGCCGGGGGGCAGCCCTAAAAATGACCCCCAGGTGGTGAAGGAGCCGCCCAAACGCAGAGACCCACGCAGAGACGGGTGTTGTGCCGCCCGCAGAGCCCCCACTCGCGGAGGCGGCTGGGGCAGCCACGTGCCCCCACACCGGGACCCGCATCACTAGAGGGTGCTGAGAGTCTGGACGACGCCTGGAGGCTTGTACCAAGAAGCTGTGACTAAGGAACGACCCGTAAACGCCCAGGCCTCTCTAAGAGGTGGTAAAGACTGAAAATGAGACTCTGCCAGGTTAAGTTGTCTCTTGGCTGAGAAAATTTTTTCCCACTCTGTCTTCCGGGTCCTACAACGTGCACGAACATTTTCTGAACGGAAAAAGTCGGCTCAGGGATCCCGAGGCTGCGTTCAGACCAGTGTCCTGCGGGGCTGTCCCGCTGGGGATGCGACGGCCGGCTCGGTGAGGCCAGCAGGCTCAGGAGGGGACGGGCTTGTCCAGGGCACGGGGCAGGGCAGAGCAGGCAGGGCCGCCCCGGCCAGGAGGGGCTGGGTCACTGCAGCCGCGACCCTGGGTCTCTTTCAGGGGTGAGGCGCACAGCCCCAGGCTGCTCCCGAAGGATGCGGAGTCCCTGCCTGGGGAGAGAACCCGGCCGGCCTCAGTCCCAGGGACACAGACCAGAACCCACAGGCCCAGGTCGCGCCAGGGGCACAGGTGCCACTCCCGAAACTCACACAGCCTCGCCCCACAGGGGCCAGACCTGCGCAGCTCCCACAGGGGTGCCGGGCCACGGCCCCCATGCCTGCCAGGCAGCCTGACTTGAGGTGAGACCGGAGCGTGTTTCCCTGTGCAGGCATCAGCTGTTTCCTGTGCAACAGCAGGCGCGGGAGGGGCTGGGGCGACCTGTCACCCCATGGTCTGTGGTGTCCACTCTGCACATGAGGACACAGGCCCGAGGCGGGGGGTGCTTAGCCTCAGCCCCAAACTCCCCTCCTGGCCTTGTCTGCCCTAAGACCCCACCCGCCACCGACACCCAGCCCCGCAGCCCGGAGGAGAGACGGGGGCCAGCCCCGGGCAGGTCGAAACCACAGGAACGAGTGCCCCTGCTGCAGGGCAGCCCTCACTCGTTCTGGCTCATTCTGCGAGCTCTGCGGGGCGGCTAGCTGCTCTGATCAGCATCTGCCGAAACTCCCACGAGCCCCAGTTCTGCTCCCCCCGGCACCGTGACCCTGGTGGGCCACTCTGCTCTGAAGTTGGTTTCTCATCTGCAAAATGGGGCAGTGACAGAAGCCACACACAGGTGGGACTCAAGGCCCCGCCGCAGGCCATGGCCTCTGGGCAGGCAGATGCCAGCACAGGCCCAACCATCAGACACCTGCCAGGCTCCCGAAGGCCAACCCTCACCAGGCATTCAGAGCCCACGGCACGTGCGCTTGCACACACACCCCCCGTCCCTCGCCTCCGTGCCCCACAGCCCTTCCTCACTCCACCTGAGGGGAGGCCAGCTGTGCACACCGGGGCGGGGGGTGGGTGGGGGCTGCCCTCTGTGCAGAGCTGGGCGGTCAGAGCTTGAGCTCAGAGATCCCCCACGTCCCAGCTGTGGCACTGGGCACGTGACTTCCCCTCCAAACCCGTGTTTCCTCATCAGGATGGAGAAGGCACGATAGCGCCAGGAGGACTGCTCGGAGGAGGAAAGGAAATGGTGGGCACCGGTTGCCCGTGCACTCCAGACAGGCTGAATTCCCGCGGCCCCGAAACGGGGGATGCCCACAGCCTGAGCGCTCAGCCCGCACTGGGCCCAGGGTGGGGGAGCAAGACAGGCCCAGGCTCAGAGCGCGTCGCCTCGCTGCCACCGGATCCCAGGTCTTGGTCGGGCTGTGTCCACACGCCAGCCTGGGCTGAGCCCCGGGAGGACGTGCCGGGCTACGGCCACCTCCACCCAGACGCCGGTGTCACACAGCGGCTGCGCAGCGGTCGGTACCCGCGTCCCGGCAGTTCCCACAGCCCCGGCGCCACAGGTCGCTCAGAGGGGCTGCACCCAGCGCGGGGCGTCTGCTGCAGGGGCCCAAAGGTGTCTCCACAGTGCCTCTCACCCCAAGGGGCAGCAGGGTCCCTGCATGGGGGGGGCCCCATCTCACAGGCAACCCGCGACTCGGGAATGACCACAGCTTCGCCGGGCTCAAGGGCCTTGCTCGGCAGCTCCCTTCCTCCTTCCAGCCCCCCAGCGGCGGCCTGAGCTTCCCTGAGCGACAAGCGGCCGGAGACGCCGCTCACCCCCAAAGCTGCAGCGTCTCCAGTGGGCAGCAGAGCCCAGCGCGGGGCAGCCGGTCTGGGGCCTGCTCTGCTGGGGGCCTTCCTCTCGGAACCCGGAGACTGCACCGCGCACCCCAGCGAGAGGCCGACTCCCACCCCGCCACACCAGGAACTGCTAAGTGTCTACAGGACGCCAGGAAACGCAGACTGGCCGCGTCCAGGGGCTCACTGGCCCCTGGGGAGGTGGCCACACGAGCACCAGCGGACGGGCTCCCTGACAGAGTGCGGCTGGGCAGGTGGCCTCGGAGCTGGGGCCTGCAGGCACCCCCGGGAGATTGCAGGGGTGAGGAGGGGTGGCTTTCCGGGCATGAAAGTGCTGACAGCAACCACCACAGGGCCGAGCCGGGCGGGCGCACGAGGAAGGACCAGGACCAGGAGACTCCGTGTGAGGGAGGACGAGGCCAGGAGGGGGCAGCATGGTGAGGCCGCCAGGCCCACGCTCAGCCTGCTGCGGGCCTGGGGGGACATGTGGGGGCTGGGGGGAGGACGGGCGGTTCTGGGGTCAACCCAGTTGTGACACTGTCCCTGGACAAGCCTCTGGCCTCTCTAGCCTCCAGCTCCCGGCAGGTGACGGGTCCTGGCAGGTGACACCAAACTGACAGGTCGCGAGTAGAGGGGGGCTCGCAGCTGGGGCTCAGCAGAGGCAGGTGCCACCACAAGTCCCGTCACAGGGGACGCTCTGCGGCTCCTGCCCCCGGCTCCCTGCCCCGGGGCGGGGCTGGGAGGTCGGCGGGCAGGGGAGCCTGGGGGGGGGGGCGCCTGAAGCTGCTGAGCAAACGGGGCTGAGCAGATGGTCCTCGACCCCCCAGGTCAGCCATTCTGCGCCAGGCGCCAGGCGGGCGTGCGCTGGAGGCGGCCGGGCGCACAGTAGGTGCGCAGTGAACGTTTGCTAAGGAATTTTAGGCGCAGCCTCGCGTTTCCGCCCCAGCACCTTTCCAAACAAGCAGCCGGGACACCTCCGTCCACGCCCGCGCGGCTGCACCCGGGCACCTTCCGTCCAGCAGGCTGCCCGCCTGCTCCCCCAGGCCGCGGCCCCGCTGGGCGCTCCCGCACAAAGGAGGGCGCGTGGGTCCCCGCCCGGGCCCTGGGCTGGCGGTGCGGGCGCCGGGGCGGGGCGGGCACGTCCCTCCGGGGGGCTGTTTCCCGGGCAGGCGACGGGCCTGGCCGACTCGGGGCCGCCCCCCCAGGGAGCCCCAGCCCGGCCGGGGACGCGCGGGGTGGGGGTGCGGCCGTGCGGTCCCCCCCGCAGGAGGAGGGGGGTCCTCCCAGGAGGACGCGAGAGCCGGCACCGCGGGGGGGCTCCAGGGTCTGGGCACAGCTCGCCTCGGGGGCCTCGCCCGCAGCGCCCCGCACCCGCGCCCCAGGCTCCTCGGCAAGGCCGCGCACCCCACCCTCGCCGGGGCCGCGGGTCTCGCGGGGCGCCGGGCAGCGCCCAACAGGTCCCCGCGAGGGCGGCCGGTGCCCCGCGGGAGCTGGGCGCCCCACACGCCGCGGCGCTCCCTGGGCGCGGGGCCGGGAGGGCGCCGGGGGGCCCGGGGGGCGCTGGGGCGCGGGGCCGGGAGCCGGGGGGCGCCGGGGGGGCGCGGGGCCGGGGGCCGGGGGGGCCGGGGGCCCGGGCGCACTCACCGAGGCCGCAGACCTCGCGGCGCAGGCTGAGGCGGCCGCGCTCCTCCGCGATGGCGCGCAGCATGCGGTGCAGCGAGCGCTCCTCGGCCTCCGCGCCGCCCGCGGGCTCCGGGGACGCGGCGGGGGCGGGCGGCCCGGCCCGGAGCCCCGCGGGCGCGGGCGGCGAGGCACAGGCCCGGCCCGGCGGCCGCGCGGAGGCCATGCCGGGCCCCGGCTCATCGCCCGCGCCGCGCCCGCGGGCGCCCCCGGCGCGCCCCGCCGCCCGCGCCCCGGCGCCGCCCGCCGCGAGCACCAGCGAAGCCACAATCCGCCTTTGTGCGTCGCCCGCCAGCCCCGCCGCCGCCCGCCGCGTCCCCGGCCAGCGCGACCGCGCGCCCCGCCGCCCCGCGCACGCGCACGCCGGCCCCGCCCCGCGCCGGCCCCGCCCCGCGCCGGCCCCGCCCCGCCTCCAGGCCCGCCCCGTCTCCAGGCCCCGCCCCGGACGCCAACCGCTACAGGCCCGCCCCTCTCCTGGCCCCGCCCCTGCCCCAGGCCCCGCCCCGTCCGGTATCCAGGCCCCGCCTCTCTCCAGGCCCCGCCCCTGCCCCAGGCCCCGCCCACCGTGGAGACGGAGCCCGTCCCCCGCGGCCCCGCCGCCTCCAGGCTCCTCCCGGGCGCCCGCCGGCGCACGGCTCGCGAGACCCCAGCACCCCACCCCGGCAGCATCGGGCGCCGCCCAGGCCGCGCGCCCTCCGCCCGGACTCGGCGCCCGCGGCCCCCCGCCCCGCCCCCGCCCTCGGCCGGTCCCGGACTCGACCCCGCGCCCCTCGCCGCCTTCCCCAGCTCCGCTCCGGCCGGGGGTGCCTCCGGGCCCTCCCCTCGTCCCCCGGCGCGACGCCCCGCACCCCACCCCCGCCGGCGCCCGGGGACCGGCCCCCGCGCTCCCCGCGGCCTCCTGCGCCCCCAGACGGGCTCACCTCCCCGGGAAGCGGGTCCCCGGCCGGGCCCTCCCGGCCCCCCTACTTCTCCAGGGCCCCCTCGGGGCGGTGAGAAGGGCCCGAGGCCAGCTCCCCCGCCCGGCTCCCCCCGCCCGGCGTCGCCCCGGGTGTGAGGGGAGGGGCGGGCTCTGCGGCGGCACAGGCCGTGGCCCCCAAGACGGGGCGCTGGAGGGGCGGCTGGAGGGGCGGCTGGACGGCCCCCGGCGCTGAGCTGGGGCGAGCGGGTCGGAGGTGAAGAAACGGTGAATAGACGAGCGGCCAAAGGCACAGGACGGCTTCATGTTAGACACACACACAACACACACACACACGCACACACACGTCCTTCACAAACACACACACGCGCCTCCACAGCTTCTGTGCCACGGAACCAGCCGTGAACCACCTCGGCCCATTTCCTTGACACCTGACCCAGCGCCGGCACCGCCAACGTGGATGAATGACCGGATGAACCCCCGGGCCTGCCCTGGGCTCTGCTCTCCCCTCGCGTGACACCGCGGGCGCTGCCCACGCGGCCCACTCCACACCCCCACGCGGGGCCTCCTAAGGGCGCCGGGGCCGGGTGCGCTCTGGCCTCGGGGCTGGGGCGGGGCTGGAGCGCCGGGACACGTCCTGTTTCTCGGTCGGCTGCCCAGACATGGTCAGTCCATACAGATCAGTCTAATGAGGCTGTAACTTCGTGGCTTGTGCACTTTACTGTATATAAATATTCAGAGCGTGTAACAAAAATAAAAGGCCTTGGGCCTCCCGGTGGCGCAGCGGTTGAGCGCTGGGTTGCGAAGCTGCGCGCGGCCTCTGCGGCGCCGGTACGATCCCCGGCTGCTCCCCGGCCACCAGAGGAGGGTCCCACATGGCGCGCAGACAGCTCCTGCCGCCCGCTGCTCCCCTCAGCAGTGTCCTTCGGTCCTTCTGCCTGCTCTGCTCCCGCTCTGGCTCTGGTGAATTCTCTCACCCTCCCGCGCTTCTGACTGTACCCAGTGCCTGTATAAACAAAACAAACAAACAAAAACCAGCAAACAAATAAATAAATAAAGCATGCCTCTATAAAAAAAAAAAATAAAAATAAAAAAAAATAAAAAGGCCTTGAACAGTTCTCATTTGCTTATATTTTCCATGACAGTGAAAATGTTCTTTCTGCAGAGAAGGGAAATGCACTGTTGCGGAGATCGCTGAGAATAAAAAGACTGTGTGGGCAGAACACTGGCCCTCACGTCCTGTCCTGGGCGCTTTACCTCATGCGGCAAAGTGGGCCGTGCAGACGGGGTGAAGGACACAGGCCTCGCGATGGAGAGACGATTCCGCATTTCCACGTGGATTCAACGACGGTCTTTAAAACTGTAGAAACAGTGCGATGCTAGAGGGTCAGGTAAATGCAGCACTGTTGGTCTTAAAGATTGAGGTTGTGATCACAGTCAAGGAATGCAGGAAGCTTCCAGAAGCTGGAAAACACAAGGAGCTAGAGCTTCCAGAAGGAAAAGGGCCCTGTCTGCAAGGGGGGGTGGGGAGCACGGGGCCAGGGGCCAGGGAGCTAGTTGTACAGGCTTACGGGAAGAGGGTGGCCAAGGTTACCAGCCAAAGAAAAGGTGATTTCCAGGCCTCCCCTGGTGGCGCAGCGGTTGAGCGCTGGGCTGCAAAGCTGCCCTCAGCCTCTGCAGGGCCTGTTCGATCCCCGGCCACCAGCGAGAGTCCCGCATGGCGCGCAGACCTCTCCTGCCGCCCGCTGCTCCCCTCAGCAGTGTCCTTCGGTCCTTCTGCCTGCTCTGCTCCCCGCTCTGGCTCTGGTGAATCCTCTCACCCTCCCGTGCTTCTGACTGTGCCCAGTGCTTGTATAAATGAATAAATTAATTAAAAGAAAAGGTGATTTCCCCTAGAGTCTCCTTCCTTAGGGCAGGCTGGGGTCTCGCCTCACAGGCTGGCAGGAGACTCCAGATGGGCTGGTGCAGGCGGGCACCCTGGGAGAGGCTGAGACTGCCGCAAAAGTCACATCTGGGTAGGGGCCCAGCAGAAGGATCCCCGTTTGGGCCTGCTGTTTCTGTTTCCAACAGACAGAGTCCAGGAATTCTCCACCCGTGCACTTCTCTCCGTGAGGTTTGTTTTGCAGACATACTCAGCCTGCAGTCAAGCAAAGCCCAGCAAAGGGAAGCAGCAGCCACAACCCCGGGCCTTCCAGGGTCAGCTGCCTCCTGTCCCGCCTCCTGCCGTGCCCTTCAGCGCCTCCCCTGCGCGTCCTGTGACCTAGCGTTGCTGGCTCAACACATCTTTGTTTCTATGTGTTTGAGGCTGGTCTGGTTCCAGAGTGGGTCGAGGTGAAGAACCAGTGCTCCCTGAGACTCTTTTTAAGTGGCTGAAGCGCCCCTGGCACCAGCTCTCCCTCCCCCAGGCCTGGGCTTACTGGCACAATGGGGTGCAGGCTGGGCGCTGGCTGAGACCTTCCGCCTTAGGGTTCTGGACCCCAGGTGCCCTTGGTCACCAAGAGGAGACGCGTGTTCTCCTTGGTCACCAAGAGGAGACGCGGGTTCCGTGGCCGCCACGTGCCAGCCAGCCAAGTTCCCAGGGCGGTGCAGGTCTCTGCCCTCACCCTGGAGACCTGCCATCGCGTGAGGGTGCGGTCTGCTGCTTCCTCTTCTGACTTCTCCCTCCTGACTCTCGGTTCTGCTTTGCTCAGAATCCTGCTTCTCCGCCTTCGTTTCATCGGGAAGATCAGACCCAGCCTCCCCAGATCTAGGGGCCTCCAACTTGGAATTTTTCTCACCTGCTTCGGAGCAGGGGATCACCCCAGAAGGCTGCCCCTCCCCCCAGCCCCTCCCGGGCCCAGCCACATGGCGCACAGAAGGCCTCTCAGCCTCTCCCTCGTCAGAAGGTCCACCTGTGGGCCTCCACTTTTTTTTTTTTTTTTTTTTTTAACACATCCCTGCTAAGATTCTTTGGAGGAGAAACCTGAAAATTATTATTAGGTGCCGACTGGACGAGAATGAAAAATCAGAGGAGATTTTGAAAGAGGAACTGCGGCGAGGCCTGGGGCCGGGGAGAGCGCGCTGACGCCGACACTCTCGGGGGAGCTTCCTGTGTGCGCACGTCCAGCCTGGATCCGGGAGGGCAGCTAGTGCCTTCCTGTGTTAAGAGAAGGGGAGCAGAAAAGTCACTCCACAACGTGTTACTTTGTCACGCAGATTTCTTGAGCCAAAGGCAACAGACACGACACACCCAGGAAGACCTTCAGCCTCTCCAGTAAGCACCCAAGAGCCCTCAGGGCCTGGCCCAGGAAGAAGTGCTGCAGAGGGCGGTGCTGCCTGGTGGGCAGACATGCGACTGCTAGTCACTGCTGTTCCAGCCCTGGGAATTCCCCGCCGCCCCTTTGAAGCCCCCCAGTCCCGATGCCATGGCTCAAGCCAGGTGGCAGCTTGCCTGGAGAATCCTACCTCTGGGGCTGCTATATGGTGGACATTTAATTCCTTTTTCTCCTGTTAATCTGTCTTCTTTCAATTTATTGGCCAAAAACCATAGAAGGGAAGAAGGGAAATCCTTCCACCTGGCCACAGGTGAGACGGTGGACTCCAGAGAGGCCGAGTCCCAGGCATCTCCCAGCAGGTCGCATCTGGAGCCAGATTCAAGCCTCCTCTAGCCGGGAGGAAGAGGCGCGAATACACCCTGTCTGGTTCCTGGAGCAGGGAGGCCCGCAGAGAAGGACAGGGGAGGGCAGCTTGGGAAGGCCCGCACTGTGGGCCGCAGGGCAGTGGGTCATGCTGAGAAGAACAACTCCAGGGCCCAGGACGGCAGGGTGAGGGGGCCAGCCTCGGCCGCCCGGAGGCGGAGACCAACACCCCAAGGCGAGTCCCTTCTGCTGCAGTGCCCTCGGCCCCCACCTGTCCGTGACCCCCCGGGAGATCAGGCTGGAGGCGCCAGGGCCGGCTGGGGTACCTGCCCTCCCCACCCACCCCATGCAGTCTCCTCCCGTCCTGAAACCATTTTCCTGGCAGGTGACAACCCAGCCTGCTTGGGGCGGCGGCTATTATGCTCACACCCGACACTCTGCACTGCCCACAATGCCGGAATCAACTGACAAAATTACAGTGAAAAACTGCTTCATGAAACAGCACCATGAGATGTGACAT